ATTACCTCGCAAAAAAGAAAATAAAATTTAATTAAATGGAGCTGGCTGATGTCGGGTATAACAATAGGGTTACAGTCACGCTAAACACGTTCAAAGATTACAGATATGTTGCTAACGCCGGTATTGCCTAATTAAAAAAATTGCTGAATGTGATATATTGTAGTAAAAAAACATGTACTATTTTAAATGTATTATTGCACTAACAGTGGTAGAGCCATGCGGCAGCTTTTGCTGTCGCACGGATGGGCCGGCTCGAACCGGGGTGGTACCAAGACCTCACAGAAAACCAGCGTGAAGTAGAGGTTTAGCTCTGCGTTTCGTTTGGTGAGTGCAGATGGAGGCCCTTCTTACTGGAAATGAGGCATTCCATCTTAGTTCTCACGGGTGACAACGCATCTACATTTTGATTTGTAATCGAGGATAGATGTAGATATCTATGGGCCGCAGCAACCACTTACCATCAGGTGGACTGAGTGCTCGTTTGTTACCCTTATCCTATAAAAAAAAAATATTTTTTATTGAACAGGGTATTTTACAACGTTTTTATTAACTCACTTTCTTCTTTGTCTGTCGTTCCGGATGGAATTTTGCAACTCAAACAAGAAGGAGACGTTTCCATACATTCTTGGGCCCACATCTTAACAAGATGAAAGTAGGACTATTTGAAAGCTTATATTTAGAGAATTCTTAGCCGAAAATCTGACATGATTTGTCAATCTAATCTAGTCTTAATCTACGATGTAACAGACACTTCCCGATGAGCCAGAGAGCTAAATTTTGAACATAATTTGTAGCTCAGAATCGGATGACAATGTAGAAATATGAAACGTAAAATATTTTTAGTACAAAATTTTAAAAAAATCACTTGTTGAAAAATCAATTGTAAAAAATCAATTGTACCTAGATACATCACCTTGTTTGGTGTTGGTATAGGCCTGTTCTCATTTATGAGCACGGATATAAGCAAGTAGGAGCACGGAGGAGTATGCCGCGCTGTTCTATGCAGGGTTATTTTGCTATAGTCGGCCAAATTTGCAGAGAAGGTTCAGAATAAATAATATAGGCAATTCGTGAAGAAAAATTAAAATATTCTGTCCTTTTTATCTTTTCAAAATGCTTGGTAATGTATTATTTTAACTGATTTTACTGCGCACGCACACATTCGTAAGGGTCAATTGGTAGGCAAAAACGTTGTGAATCGCACACAGAGAAGCGCGTTTACGCGTAGTTGTTGCCCTTACCTATATCACATTCAATTTGGGATAATTTCAAAGAAAAGTAGACGCCTTATTTACTCGTATTTTCAGAAACTACAGTAACGATATTATATCATTATTTATGTATTAGAACTTAAGTTTAAAATTTGTTTACTTTTTGAAAAATAACCCTGTATATTATATTGGTGCATTTAACAAGTTATGGAAATGTTTATTTTATTTCTCAGATATGTAGATTCCCAGCGATGCTGGCGAAATATGAACTCTGTGTGTACCTACTAATAAATTTTAAGCCGGGCTTTTATTCTCGGAATCGGAAACGGAATGCATATTTCATATTGCATTTTTTTAAATGTATTTAACACTAAAAATTTATATCATCTAAAGAATTTTTTATTTTTAATCTTAAATCACATCGCCTCTTTAAATCCGATACAATTGTAATCAAATGCGAGCTCTTTTTCTACCGACTTCAAAAAGGAGCCGGTACTCAATTCGACTGTATGTTTTTTTTATGTGTACAGTCAAGTCTGGCAACTTTACCAATGGAAGGTAACTTTGCCATCAGTGATGTACTGGTACAAAATTACGATTAACACGGAAAACGTAACGTTTTTTGAGATTTGTCATTTTTTGTATGAAAATTTAATACCTAATTAACAGCATTATTTTCAATATGTCAATATCAGAGTATTTGACATTTTATTTTACCGCGAAATTGTGCCGGCGACTTAAGCACCTTTTTCAGTGCTCCAGAACTTTTGTGGTTTTTGGTTGAAATACTGAATGTATGTACCTATATCTTTGTAATAACGTAATATTTATGGTTAGGAAATGTAATATTTCGTTTTTAATATAGTAGTCTTAATATTTGTCTATAAAACTAACTTCGCAAAGTTACCATACTAGTGATTTCACGATGTGACGGTTACTTTGCCATGTTTTGCTACAACCAAGGGTTGTCACTTTTAGTTTATATTTTGACCCGACTATGGCGATTTTTTTATAGGATAGTGAGACAAGCGAGCACACAGTCCACCTGATGGTAAGTGGTTACTGTGGCCCATAGACATCTACATTTATCCTCGTTTGCGAATTAAAATGCAGATGCGTTGTCACCCGTGAGGACTAAGATGGAATGCCTCTTTTTCAGTAAAAATTGTCTCCGGTTCTCTACACTCACCATACGAAACACAGCAGTGTTAAGCTGCTATTTTACGCTGGTATTCTGTGAGAGCGTGGTCCTTCCCCGGTTGAGCTGATCCATTCGTGCTACAACTATACTACCTAGTATAGCTTCAAATTATCAATCTATGTATGTGTGGAACGATTTTATTTTTAATAAAATTAAATCGATTGACATTTAATCTGACATTCAATTTTATTAAAAGAAAAAGAAAAGAGAAATCTATATTATTTTACTGCGTTGTCGGGTATTAATAATATTATTACTTTTTAGTATTTTTCAAATCTTCATACTTAGAGTATTAATATAATTTGCACCCAAATAACATTGTCATTTTAATCGCTTACTTATACCTTAACTAGTTTTGCTATTGTTGGAAATCAAAATTTAGGTTCTTTATAAAAAAAATCCTGATCTTAATAAAATGATATCACTTTAGGAAAATGGGTCGCCAAAGTAGTAACTATATTATCTGACGTTAAAAATACACTAAAGAACAAAAAATATTTTGACTTGTCACAATATGGTCCAATAACATTAAACAGAATGGATTTAAATTTTGACATTTGTCAAAAATCGTCAACTGGTATTACAATAGGTGAAGAAGGTTTTGATCTATATGAAAACCCCGTGGCGGGCACATCTAGACTTAATAATAATAATACTCAATCAGAGAAGCGGAAATTGTCTAATAAACGCATGAAGCCGACGAAATGGCGAAAAATTGAATTTCTTGATAGTGACGATGACTGGCAAAGAAAATTATTCATAATTATTCTTATGTTTATTTATTTATAATTATTGATAATTTAATTAGAAAAATGTATACCTCCTAAAAATTGTTGTGAAAATATTGAAATTAAAAATTTAAGTAAAGTACGTAATTAAGATGTTTGACAACCCTGACACATATCTTCAAGTTTGTATGAAATATTGAAAAATGGGAGGGCAACTTTGCCAGAAGAGTAAACTTCGCTATTTACAACACAATTAAAGGAGCAAATCATAACTCTGAGTAATGTGTATTATATTATGAGGTAAACTTACCTTCAGCCTTCAAGTCAAATCCTATTATTTTCATTATAAACCCCGATGGCAAAATTGCCACAAAGTGAGGTTAACTTTGCCATTTTCTCTTTTTAAGTATTTTGTCTATTTAATGTAATTATTTGTTTAAATCACTAATAAATACCAAATCTATGAAGAATATAATGTTACATTTAACATTGACGCCCAGTGTGATAGTACATTTTTTGTTGAATAATTGGTCCTTCCAAAAATGGCAAAGTTGCCAGGTTTCACGGTACCTCATAACTTTTTACTGGGAGAACTGATTTCGATGACTCTTTTTTATTTGAAAGCTGGTACTTCACATGATGTCCCATATGAATTTCATCAAGGTCAGACCAATAGTTTTTGAGTTATTCTTAATAATTTATATTAAAGTCGGCTGTACAAAATTTTTAATTATTAATTATGTGAAAACTCATTACATTACAAATATACAGACGAAAAACTTTTCTTTTGTCACTTCACAATGTTGTTAGGATTATTGGTGGCATCTGACAGTGATAGAGCCCGCATAGAGAGGGAGGTGCTCTTAATACGAGTACTAGGTGATACACACCATGTTTTTGTATGTGCTTAGCAAATTAATTTATTCATGTTTACTTCTTTGCACAAGATTTCTTAAGTGTTTAATAGATTTTATAACATTGCTTTAAATATAATTTGGTATTATTCATGATGATGATGATGATGATGACGATATATTTAATAAAAGTAAGTTTAAGTTGATTGATTTAATTAACGAGGCGAGGATATTCGCAACAAAATAAGAGTAATATGTTATAGCGTAAAGGATGAAAAGAAAGATTCTCGAGCGCAGTGTTGTATGAGACACCCCTCTCCCCCGCGCCCACTACATAAAGTGATGGCCTGATGTAAGATGCAGGTATTCAATGGTGCGCGCTTTTGTGGCAGTACATGGAAAGGCCTATGTTCAGCAGTGGACCTGTAATGACCTGTGATTGTGATGATGATGATGATCTCATATGAGTTAGTTTATAGTTAAAATAAAAAAAAAACACAAGCTTCATCATTACCATTATTATTGAATAGTTTAAAAATGCATCGCTGTGCTGAAGCACTTGAGAGGTATCATTTACATGTCTTTATATAAACATAAGTACATTTAGATTTAATTATACTTCCTTTTGTTAATAACTTAATAACTTACTAGATATCCGTTTATAAAAAAACATGCAATTCGCATCTCCATTGGGCATACTAAAATAGTACAGTTAGTACATAACACTGCTGAAGTCGTTGTAAGAAATAAATAAGTTACTATAATAAAGAAAAAATCACAGCGTACGTTCACAGCAAGAGCAGTGACATCGATATTCGAATATTATCAGAATTAAACTACATCGATAAGATCAAATTTCAAACACCGATCGAAATAAAATAGCCCGATAAAATCGCATAGTCATATAAGCATTTTTCAAATCTAATTTCACTATACTTTACATCCGTTATCACGTCGTCTAGACGCTACGTTACATTTAGAAAATCTACATAATTACAAACTTTTACTAAGAATCTAAACTTCTAGAATTTTTCAACGACCTCGCGTTGTGTGGCATCGATTTTATTTTTTTGCTTTTGTCTACGGTATTGTTCAAATTGTCCGTGGCTGCCATTGCTGCTGCGTTGAATACGGAGTTCTTCGAACTGGGAACACTGTTTCCGGGCGAGACACCACTATCAGTGCTAACTGATGCCGGACTTGGGCTATCACTGGCGCTATTGCAGACAGTCAATTCCTGTCCTGGTATAGACACTATTTGACCAATTTGCTTCTGTCTCACGAGGTTTATACTTTGGCACACATTCTTCACGTCACTATCACTCGCTTCTTTCTTGTGATATCTTGTCAATGTTCCTGCTGATCCTGCCGAATGCGGCCGATACATTGGATAGAACTGCGATTGTGGGTAGTACTGCAGTTCTGGTGGGACTTGTCCTTGGACCCACGGACCCATCGTTGACACTACTGGCGGCATATGTGTCCACATTGGCATTTGCACCATATGCATACCATCGGGTAGAGGTTTGTAACCTGGCGCAATAGGCATAGGCCTGACAACACCAACAGGTGCAGGGGCACTATGTGGCCTTAAAACGGGGTGTCCATATTGGGCAGTAAACTCCTCGCCTTCATACATTCTCGGAGTCTGCGAATAGTCTACGTTAGGGAAAACCGTGTGGGGCCCTCTTTGCAAATATGTATACATCTGTTGCTGCGCTTGTTTCATTGCAACGTACTGTTGTAAATGGATAGCGGTTTGTTGTCTTTGCTGCACCAGATCTTGGGAAAAGCTGGCCGTCGTATTACCATGAATATAGTAGATGTGAGCCTGGTTGCTTGGTTGCGTCGGCGGTACTTGTTTCTGTGCATTGTTGTATTTGTTGTCAACAACATTATTCTGGGGATCTTGATATTCTTCTGGAGGCTCTATGTACTTTGGCGTAGATGGAGGGGTTACTTGCTGCGATTTTGGATAACTAACTATTTGCGCAATGTATGGTTGTTGGCTTTTAGCAGAATGCGCTGGACTATGGCTTTGGAATGTTGGATTATAAGTTATTTGAGATGTATCTTGACTAATCCCTTCAACTTCTTTTTGGCTAATTCTTTGGTGTTCATTCGTTTCAGTCTTTTTTGCTTTCTGATTATAGGGCGCTACCTTTGGATTACCTTTCCAATTGGCACCGGCACTCTGTGGGCGTTTTACTGGTGACTTAGATGGGTCATGCCAGTTGTCTCCATTGACTTGTCGAGGATCTGGCGGATGATGAGAGTGAGCGCTGTGTGCTCTTCTTGGTGGCGGTGACATACCTTCTGGCACATGTTGTTGTCTGTAACACCTTCTAACGGCTCCGGGGCTATTCTGGCGTTCGGGTGGCTGAGGCATCGGCCTTGAAACACGCCTTCTAGCAGGTGTTGGGGGACTAGGCTGTGATTGAGAGGATTGCGTCGACTGTGATACAGATCGCCATTGCTCTATTAACATTTTGCGCCTTTCTTGTTCTAAGCGGACCTCGGTTTCACTGGATGAGTCATAATCTTTGCCCTAAGAAATAAAATAATAAATTCATTAAAATAAATTTATAGACAACTATTGATTGAAAGCTATCATAGTATTTGAATTTAAAACTCACTTTTTCGATTTTTTCATCAAGCATTTTAAAGAAATCCTGTTGGCTGGCTGACACCTCACTGGAAAGGAAATTGTGTATAATAAATATTTTAAAATCAAATAATTTTTTTAAAGGATAGGGGTGACTCGCTTGTCACACAGTCCACCTGATGTTAAGTAGTTGCTGTGGCCCATAGACATCGAGATCTATCCTCGTTTGCGAATCAAAATGCAGATGCGTTGTCAGCCGTGAGGACTCACATGGAATGCCTCTTTTTCAGTATAAAGGGTCTGTTTGATTTAAGTTGATTGTTGAAGTTTTAAGAACGTCATCAAATTCAAATAAGGTGGGAACTATAAAAACAAAAGACACTTTAGTATATATTACGAGTATATCATTTTCGAATGACTCTGTTGTTGGCATAGACGAAATTGTTTCTCAACATTTTAAAGATGTTGCGGAATGCGTACATTTTTAACAAGCACTAATACAGATGTGCTTGTAAAGGTTAACCTAATGTTGACTCTATTGATAAAAATAGTACCACGGTCTCTTCTTGGTGAATTCCGGGGGTCATTTACGCAGACGAGATTGAGAACATAAAGGAAGGCGACGGCGAGGCTCTATATTCCGGCGCGCCTTACTACTGGAGAAGAACGGGGGCAGGAGTCTTCTGAGTAGGGACCGCCGAGAGATGGTCTTTTAACTGTCAAGAATTAGGAAATATTTTAGCATAGTTCTATAACGTACATGGTTTGTGGTTGCGCCGAAAGGGGTAGGATATGCTTGACTCGTTCTGTTTCCTCTTCAGACTCATCAGCGGGAGCCGCACCTCCCGCACTGCCTTCTTCTTCATCTGCTTCTTTATCTGCTGCACCTAAATAAAATTCTTTGCATTAGATAATAACTAAGTATGGTACTTTGTAATAACTAAGTGTGGTATTTTTAGCATAAGGGTGACAAACGAGCACACAGTCCGCCTGATAGTAAGTGTTTGCTGTGCTCCTCAGATATTTACATCTATTCCCGATTAAGAATCCTAACACAGATGTCTTGTCATGTTGCATGCCTCGTTTCCAGTAAAAGGGTCTCCGGTTCTATAAAAAAGTTTGTATAAAAGGATTATTATAATATTAAGGAATTTATGTATGATAATAACTCCTGGAAATGAGGTGATCGCTACCAATCTATTTCTAATTTGTTTTATACACAGTGGTAGAGCCACGCGGCAGCTTTTGTTGTCGCACGGATGGGCCGGCTCGAATCGGGGTGGTACCACGACCTCACAGAAAACCAGCGTGAAGTAGAGGTTTACTTCTGCGTTTCGCTTGGTGAGTGCAGGTGGCCGGAGGCCCTTTTTACTGGAAATGAGGCGTTCCATCTTAGTCCTCACGGGTGACAACGCATCTACATTTTGATTTGTAACAGAGGATAGATGTAGATGTCTATGGGCCGCAGCAACCACTTACCATCAGGTGGACTGTGTGCTCGTTTGTCACCCTTATACTATAAAAAAAATATAAAAAAAATACTGTTAATTATGTAACATCATGATTGTAAGCTGTTATTTTCTTTAAAGTCCCGCTGGGTCGCTTACTGGTTCTTCCAAGGATAGAGATTTTTTCCGAATCTGTGGTAAATTTAACAAAAGAGTGATTTTCAATAAGTATTATTTATAATCCATATTAAATAAACAAAGTTTCTGCTTCTGTTACAGCAGCATTAACCTGCCATTTCATACAAAGCAAAAATAAAAGAAAAGGTCAAATATAAGTATAATATACTTATGACCTCAATGGCGTGGTAAGGTAAGTTTTACTTTAGTATTAATCCAGAGGCAACAGTCTCCAAGTTTTGATAGAAGCTTTCTGCTGCAATATTTACGCATTGTCAGAGACAACATACGAAACACAGTATAGCATTAACCTGCTATTTCATGCTGATATTCTGTGAGAGTGTGACCCTTCCCCGGTCGAGTCAACCCATTCGAAGAAAATTATTCGCGCAACTTTTCACAATATTTAAAACTCACACATTTAAACTCCAACGTTATTTAGCTAACAGTTTATTTATTATTTTTAATTAACGGATAAAAGTTGAACTTATTTCATAATATTTTTTTTGTTTCAATTGTCATACTTAGATCATATAAGTCGCTTGACGTCATGTACTCGTTACTCGCCAGGAATGTTATATGTAATAAAATGCAACACAAATTATAATTAATCAGTGTTATGATAGTTATAGTATTAGAACTTAATTCGAGTGTAGCGCAATTGTCAAAAGCCACGCTTACCACAGCTGAATTTGCTTTGGGTCATTTTTGGAGCTAGAAATGCTTCGGTGTTATATTTGCATCACTGGATCTAGACAAATGTATATTTCAGTTCTTGATACTGATACTCGAGTTCGTTACAACGAAAGTGAACACAGTTGCCATTCAAATGGAAAATTTAGGGTAACGTTCGATGAAACCAATTTAAACTTTCGTGTTCTCGAAGCGTTGTGTTTCAAAATACAACTCTGCTAAGTACAGCTTCACAAAGCAATTTTTATTTTCACTTTAAAATATTGTTTTTGTTGAAAAATTCGGTGACTTAAAGTTGCATGCGGACATAGCAGCTATATAATGTTATCGTCGTTTTGGGCTCCACCATACTCGGTAAAATATTTCGGAATGTTTCTCAACTCAGATGTTTTTTTTTTATTATTGTCCGTTAATATTATTATTTTCTATAATTTAATATTGTTTAAAAAATATTCTCTTGTATCCTAATCTGGTTATAACCTGAATGTGATTGATAACACGTAGAGATGGGAAATAGTAAATATTCGTAAATATGTGCTTACTAGATGTTTTCACATCGCTTACTGCTACGAAATTTTACTCTCTTAACTTATACAATCTCAAATAAAAAAAAAAAAACAGTAAAAAGTAAAAAGTAACTACTCTGCTAACTCTCAACAGGCTTTAAAATATAACACATACTACAAGTTGTTATATATATATATTCTAAGAAATTTCAATGTAAAGCTACAGGAAAAGGCTTTAATCCGACTTCTGATTTTAGAAACTATTCCACTTCTGATGTTAGAATTTATTCTCAAAATTATGTAAATAAAAGAATGTTACTCGTATTAGAATTTACTCTGAAGGTTAATTGTTAAAAATAATAACAGTGTGAGAGCGGATGTTCAACTTGCCCTCATGCTTACGCAATTGATCATTATCGGAAATAAGACAGCGTACAGCACTATACATTCAGTATAGGGCAAATACAGTTCGACCAACCGTAATATGTACCACACTCAATCACACATTAGTGTAACGTGAAGGACATAATTACATGATAACACCAAAGTATGCAAAGCAACAGCTACACTACTCCTCTCGATGTAACACCGGGCAGCCTCTCAGCAACACGATCTTCCTTGCTTACACTAGAAGAACTACTACACGAATAGCACCGCATCACTTGTCTTATTTGGGCAGAATCCCAGTGTAGAAGTAATGTTTTAGGCCAACGGGCATAATAACGATATGAGACTCTTAGAATTACAGACTGTTACCTCTTAGTCGCCTGTATTATACTTTATACTATACTTTATACTGCTAAAACAAGTGAGAGATTACCATTCTTACCTTCATTTGTTCGTATTTCCTTTCAGTTTTTTACCCTCATTCCCAACACTGCCTCTCCTGACAGGAGTCCGTCCTCGGGCTCCCTTTAGCTTTAAATATTAGTCTTTATCAACGCAGATAAAGACTAATATTTAATGGGGGATGCAGGCACCACGTAGGTCACAGGCGACGCGCTTGGCAATGGCTCTACGTTAAGCACAACGTGTCGTCAGAGTAAGTCATAGGCACTACTTTCGCATAATTTAACACAGGTGGTAAAATAAAAATTTGTCAAGTCAGTTATTAATAAATGCGCATTATTAAGCATAACTCAAACTACTCGTCAGATCATGATCAAATTTGCGAGACCACATGATAAGCAACAGCTTTCAAACAAAAATAGAACCATCAAAATCGGTCATCTAGAAAAAGGTTCCGAGCATGTATGCATAGATATATGGATGTGAAAAAAGTAACAGAGGTGTCTGGATCATTCCAAAAAGAAATCTGTGGTCTACCTACCTACCAGAAGGGGAGGTACCCCTTCTGATTTTTTTTTATAGAATAGGGCGATAAACGAGCACACAGTCCACCTGATGGTAAGTGGTTGCTGTGACCATAAACATCTACATGTTACCTTAATAAAAAATCAAAATGCAGATGCGTTGTCACCCGTGAGGACTAAGATGGAATGCCTCGTTTCCACTAAAAAGGGTCTCCGGTTCTCTACAATCACCATAGGAAACACAGCAGTGTTAAGCTGCTATTTCACGCTGGTATTCTATGAGAGCGTGGTCCTTCCGCGGCCGAGCCGATCCATTCGTGCTACAACTGTACTATAATATGGCTGCAGCATGGCTCTACCAAGTATGAAAAAATTCCCTTCTGGATAACTGGCGTCTACGTGTCTGGGTGATAGAGTTAATGTATGTTCTGTATTTACGCGATATATACCCAAATCAGTTCCTAGGTGGTATAGGGTCATACCTCTATCATTAATCAAACTTTAAAAACATTAGACTTAATGAGTTAAAAAACCACATATTATGAGCTAACTGATGATAGAGTTAGTATATGAAATTGTATTGTGGGCATTAATGTACGAAGACCTAGTTTTTCAGTGATTACCGAATAAGAAAGCTCCACAATAAAGACATTAAAACAGAGTAACCGATACAGCACAACAGATCAGTGGGCTGAAGAGTCAATGTAGGCGGCGATAATATAACCTCATGAACCGTTAACCGATAAGGAATGGGTCTCGTGTGGACTAAGGAGAGTGTAGGGTGGCTCATTAAATGAATTGACGACCTGATATCATATCGATGGAAGTATGCGGTGGATGACCATGTATTGTAGGCACTTTTATTTCTATATATAGCGCCGTGCGGTTGCGGCACAAAGAATTCATCGCCCAAATTCTTCTCGCGGGTGTCATAAGATATATTTTATTTTATAGTATAAGGGTGACAAACGAGCACACAGTCCATCCGATCTACATATGTCTTCGATTATGAATCAAAATGCATATGCGTTGCCACCCCTGAATGGAATGCCTTGTTTCCAATAAAAAAGTTCTCCGGTTCTTTACACTCCCCATACGAAACACAGCAGCATTAATCTGCTATTTCACTCTGCTATTCTATGAGAGCGTGGTATTTCCCCGGACCCATTCGTGCTATATACTGTGTGCCAAGTGTGACGATAGTATACTGCAAATGTACCCTATAACTGTAGATGCCCAAGTTCAGCAGTGGAATTTCACAGGCCAATGAAGATTTTTTTTTATAGGATAGGGTGACAAACGAGCACACAGTCCACCTGATGGTAAGTGGTTGCTGTGGCCCATAGACATCTACATTTATCCTCGTTTGCGAATCAAAATGCAGATGCGTTGTCACCCGTGAGGATCTATCTACATCTATCCTCACTTTATTGAGGATAGATGTAGATTCGTGTAGTATAGTTATAGTAGTATAGTATAGTTGTAACACGATAGCATTCGTGCTACAACTATACTACTAACATAGCTGCAGCATGGCTCTATCACGTGTAAATATCTATGTAGACGGATCAACAATAAGTGTCTGTAACGCAATTTCGGATGCCAACTTCTTTCTAGAAAGCCGGCAACGCAACACAAGTTCTATGGTATTGCAGATATTGATGAGCGACGGTAATCACTTACTATCTGGTGAGTCTTATGCTATATTGCCTCCTTTCCATAAAAAAACCCGAATCAACGAAAGTTAACA